TCCTCATATTCAAACAAGAGAAAACTAAACTCCACACAACTATCTCTGGGAACTATTCTCATAAATCTCCCTCAGCCCAGAGAATGAATACAGCTCCACAACAAAGGGTGGAATGAAGCAGTTCACAGATATCAATTTTATGTAAATTGCCAAGTGTGTGAACAATTAGCTGTATTTATGAGCTTAGGTTTTTATTATTCACCAACACCTGTTTTCACAATTTTGACATTTTGAAGCAAATAACGCAATTGCTCTGTTGTCCGAGATATGGTATGTCTCCGGCCATGCTCTTTAATCTAGAATCGCTACATTGAAACAGAGACCTTTCCCTGAACAGGACTAAATGTGGTCAACAGGATTATGTTTCAAAACAGTTGTGACACTACTTGTGGACATGTGTGGCACATAAAAATAAATATTCCTCCTCAACAAAGTTATCACAGTTCCAGCCAAGTAGATGATTTGAATATTTCTATGGACACATATTTTTTTTCTGGCACATGAATGCATCTTAAATCTAAGATCCAGTTCGGACTTAACACTGCCTATGAATAAACATGAAGTGTTTGCAGAATGTAGGTTGCCTTTTTTGACTGTGTGGGTTTATTCTGACAAGGCGGTAACTTTATAGCTAACATAAAAAATGAAAACACAAAATTACCTAAAAGTGGTTTCTTGATCAAAAAGGGCAGGCAAAAATAACTATGGTTATCAATATGTTGCAGCCTTACACAACGTTGCAGAACAGTGTTCTGACTGACTAGGACGCTTTAGATAATTTTGAGCAAAAACGTCTGAAAGAAATCAACATGTTTCACATCATATGAGTGGTAACACATTTATAGATGGATGACTAACAAAACAGCATCTTGAACATAATTTATAAAAACCTAAGTTTGTTTATTGTGTGAGTAAATGACAACTATTTCATCACAAACGTTTATGTAGGATATTATTGATGCCACAATTATCATATGGAATATTACCTGGATCTTCACAGGTTTATACCTTTTACACTCATGGCATCGCTTAGTACAGTTAAGAAAATGAAAAGGTAAATATCATAGTTTGGCCTTGATAAGGTAAATATAATAGTTTGGCCTTGATAAGGTAAATATAATCGTTTGGCCTTGTTAAGGTAAATTAATAGTTTGGCCTTGTTAAGGTAAATATAATAGTTTGGCCTTGTTAAGGTAAATTAATAGTTTGGCCTTGATAAGGTAAATATAGTAGTTTGGCCTTGTTAAGGTAAATTAATAGTTTGGCCTTGTTAAGGTAAATATAGTAGCTTGGCCTTGTTAAGGTAATTATAATATACTGAGTCAAAAAAGAAACTTCACAAAATGTAATTTGAAAAATAATGAATAATTTTTCTCTGATGATACATCTATGTATCCGAAATGGGATCCCTATCTTTCGACTCTAGAAAAACGTTAGCAAAACCCACTCAAACCCATCCATTCCTCGTGCAAATGACGTTAGTGCCAAATCAGGTTTTGCATGTGCAGTCGATCACGTGATCTTCGCATCGAAGTTTTCTTCATATGCACGTGTTTGCATTGGCCTCAAGAATTGAAAAAACACTTTTAAACCACAGTTCTAACGGTACTTGAAATGCCACGATTGTCAAATGTGCAACGTGAACGTGCCGTTGGCATGTTGCAAGCGGGAAGATCAGTTATTGACATCGCAAGAGCAATGGGATGCAGCCGTCATACTGTGTATGACTTGCGAGGTCCTCTACAACAAACTGGCACCACTTCTGATCGCCCAAGGTCGGGTTAGTCCCGTGTGACGTCACGAGCAGAAGAGACAAGTCAAATCGTCCTCGTCACCCTCGTGACAGATTTCTGCCGGCTACTACGAACCAGGGCTGAGATGTTTAGAGGTCGACTGTCCTCACACACCATTCGAAATCGGTTGCGGGCTGCCAATCTCCATTCTCGGCGTCCATATCGTGGGCCAATATTGGCGCGCCGTTTCATCAACGTCAAAGTCTGCTGTGGGCCCAAGCGTCACCTCCGATGGACCCAGAGAGACTGGAATCGAGTAGATCTTTAGCGATGAATCCAGGTTTACCCTCAGATTCGCGCGGACGGTAGGCATAGAGTCTAGAGCGGCGTCGTGAGCGGTATGCCCAATGTTGTGTACAGGAAGTCGACAGATTCGGGGGCGGAAGTTGCATGGTGTAGGGTGCTTTCTGTGGGAACAACCGTTCCCGACTTCTGGTCATCCGTGGAAGCCTCACAGCTGCTGCTTACGCGACCAGGTGCTCACCCTGAACTCGTTCCTTTCATGGCGGCTCATGGCCCAGGTCTACAGTTCCAGCATGATAATGCTCGGCCGCATACCGCGATGTTGACACGAAATTTCCTTCAAAGCGCTGGAATCAACGTCATGGACTGGCCATCGAGGTCCCCTGACCTTAATCCAATAGAGCACGTTTGGGATGAACTTGGGAGAAGGCTTCGTGGTCTTAGGAACCAACCTTAGAATTTGCAGGAACTTGGCACTGCCTTGCAATAGCAATGGCGCAGAATCCCCAACCACGTGTTCACAAGCATCAGGCAGTCGACGAGGAGACGGTGTTTGGCAGTGGTGAATGCGCGGGGCGGCCATACAGGATATTGAACTGAGAAATTTCGCATTTTTATTCTTGTGACTTGACATTCTGTGTACCCATGTTTTGGAACGGCGGTGTAGCCTAATGGAACTGATTATGGCACTGTCAGTGTATCGAGTACATCACACAGATCTCAGCAATGTAATAATAACAATTTAACCATCTTACCATCTCTTGTTCTTTTATAGTGCCCTGAAGAAAGAATGTGAAGTTTCTTTTTTGACTCAGTATAGTTTGGCCTTGTTAAGGTGAATATAGTAGTTTGGCCTTGTTAAGGTAATTATAATAGTTTGGCCTTGTTAAGGTAATTATAATAGTTTGGCCTTGTTAAGGTAAATATAGTAGTTTGGCCTTGTTAAGGTAATTATAATAGTTTGGCCTTGTTAAGGTAAATATAGTACTTTGGCCTTTTTAAGGTAATTATAATAGTTTGGCCTTGTTAAGGTAAATATAGTAGTTTGGCCTTGTTAAGGTAATTATAATAGTTTGGCCTTGTTAAGGTAATTATAATAGTTTGGCCTTGTTAAGGTAAATATAATAGTTTGACCTTGATAAGGTAAATATAATAGTTTGGCCTTGTTAAGGTAAATTAATAGTTTGGCCTTGATAAGGTAAATATAGTTTAGCCTTGATAAGGTACATATAATAGTTTGGCCTTGTTAAGGTAAATACAATAGTTTGGTTCTATCTATTTTGCAGTTAACACATAATATCTTAACTTTTCAAGTTTCCTTGTTAGTTATTTAGTCTTTAAGTTTAGTTCCTTCAGGCTTGTCAAACAAATTCCACAAAAACTGCAGAATACCATACACTAACTGGACTTTACATTGATGCTGTACTGTTTCATAAGTACAACATCTGTATCGGTAATATGAAACTCAAATAATAATAAAATAAATGCTTACTTTGATATTAAAGTAATTTCATTATTTCAATAATAAAATTTTGCATATCTCAGTGAAATCTAAATTATATAGGGCACTGATAGGGAGTACATCATAAAGCTGCTTGAGAATGTGGATTAGTTTACGAGTTGAGACAGGTGTGGTTGGACGCTTAAAACAGCTGACAGGGGGATGGGTGGATCATATTTCAGTAAAGTTAATTCACATCCCTTTCCATGTATGTTGTCTGTTACATTCTAAATCAGTCTATGTGTTCCTGAAATAGAGAGCTAGAGAGCTATAGAGAGCTAGAGAGAGAGAGAGAGAAAGAGCTAGAGAGAGAGAGAAAGAAGAGAGAGAGAGAGGAGAGCAAAAGAGCGAGAGAGAGAGCAAGAGAGAGTGAAGAGAGCAAGAGTGAGAGAGAGCGATAGAGAGAGAGAGCGAGAGAGAAAGAGCGAGAGAGACAGAGAAAGAGAAAGAAAGAGAGAGAGAGAGAGACAGAGTGCAAAAGAGAGAGAGAGCAAGAGAGAGAGAGAGAGCACATGGTCTGTTTGATGTCAAAATGAGGAGGGTTCCAAGATTGAATATTCCTTAGGTATAAGAATTCTTCACACAAGCGTTTTAGTCTTGTGAGGACACTGATGTCTGTACACTGTACAAGTGTTTTTGGTTTTACAGCAATGTTTTTGTAGAACACCTATCTAGGACAAAGGCATAATATGATCAATTTGAATAAAAGACAGGGATTATGTTTCTTTTGACACTCAACTGAATGTCCCTAACCAGATCTGTAATATAATGAATACCTTGCTGCATATTTAGGTAGACCAGTTACAGTGAGCACAGCTTTCGAAGTGTAATTGTTCTAATTTCTCAGTGAAATGTAGAGAGCTAACACTATACCAAGTATATCAGGCTGGTTTCTCCCAATTTTTCTTCATAAATATTAGTTTTTGAAAAAGAATCCTGAATCAGAACATTAATCAGTGTGTGTGTGTGTGTGTTGGTGCGCAAATGTTTCAAGTAAAATTAGAAAATGAATAAAAACGTTTACTTCTGAAATTCAGATTTTTCATTTATCTGAAAATAATCAATGAAATGCATGCAATATAAATCCAAGAAACATATGTTTGAAAATCATTTCAACACTGATCAGATCTGAAAAAGAGTGGTAATATAATACCATCCAAGGCTGGAGAGGAAAATGTCAGAGTTAAAACTATTGTGAACCAGGTGATTCAAACAAGACTATATTTTTAATTGAGATAAATTTTTAAATAAAGTTTTAAACAGAAGTTTTATGATCCAGAAGTTTCATGATGCCATTTCCAACAAAACCTATTAATTACCAAATCAAGACTCAGAATACATATGGCCTTGAAACATTCAAACTTCATTGCTGAATCAAACAACGGCAAGTTAATAACCCAAACTTGTCTTTCCACAGAATTTCATAACATATAACATACAAACTTCAGTTCAAATATACTTACGCTTACACTTTTGGTGTTAAAGTTGTCTCCCCCTTGTTGACCTTGAGCTGGATCATTTGACATTGCCATTGTGAAGGCAAGGGGGTTGGTATTGTAGCTCTGGAAGACACAAGACATACTGTCACTAGTAATGAATGTAAACATAACTAAGTAATCATTGTATCAATTGAAACAATCCATTAACCTTGATATCATGTTAACCATTCCATGAAGGAACATGAGGTCGGTACAATGACTTGCACAATGCAATGAATATCCAGGCCACATTCAAGACTTCTAAGACCTGTTCTTTACATAGGAATAACTATTTCAACTTGTTACATCTTACACATCTAAACACTTATCAAACAAAATGAACAAGCATATCTTGCTTTAAGTCACGTATCAATATGACAGATATCTGCAGCTATATCCAACAAAGAGGGATAGCTATAACTGAATGTTTCAAAAGCATTTCTTATAAGCTGACAAATGACAAAATAGACAATTTTTATTAATAACTGCTTCTTTAATGAACTAAGAGGAGCTGTGTCTACTATTCCTGTTATTTGGAGGAACTACTCTGTGAAGTTGAGGGCAGTAATTCAGTGGAACTGCATACTGAATATATTTTCAATATCGACATATTTTTCATCATGCTTATGAAACAGTTGGAATAAGAAGGGGATCCTTTTTGAGATTTCTTATTGTGAAAAAGAGTTTTGTCATTTAAAAGTGTTGCAGAGCACTGAGTCAGCCCATAGTTAACATTGTTACTTCCATATGTTAACTTGAGGCTATCCTGAGGTCAATACGTCTGGCCTCAGATCAGGTGAGGTGAAACTGGGTTTAACGTCGTGCTTGAGACTATTTCGCTCATATGACGACGTTCATGCGTGTGTATGTGTATGTGCGGCTGCTTGTACTAGCCCAGACAGAGCTGGTTTTATAGTGCTAGCCCACTGAGATACCATGCCACAGTGAAGCATGAATACCCCACTCAGACACATTATACTGACTCCGAGCCGACCAGTCCTTGTTGTACCAATTAATGCTGAGGGCCAGGTAGGGACCAACAAGTACCATATTTTAACGTCTTTTGGTATGACGCGGTCGGGGATCGAACCCGCGACCTTCCGCTCTCCGGGCGGACGCTCTAACCACTACACCACGGAGGCGGTAGCCTCAGATCAGAAGGTATGTTGTTCGAATCCCATGATGGGACTTGGTAAAGTTTGGTTGCTACAAATACAAAAGAAATTCTGTGTACCATTGTGTACCTCACTTTGACACTCAGGATTGGGACTATTTGAATATTTATTAATGCATGAGTGAGTGGGTATGGTTTATGACGCTTTTAGCAATATTCCATCAACATCATGGCGGAGGACACCAGAAATGGGCTTCACACATGATATCCTTGTGGGGAATCAAACCTGGGTCTTCGACATGATTTTGAGGGGGCAAACAAACACTTTCACCACTAGTCTACCACATCACCCACATGTCTCAGTACCAACAAGCAAAGGTATGATGCTAACAAGTCTAGAAGCTTAAACAGAGAAAAGCCAAGATTTGAACCCACGATCATTCTTTCAACAAAACTGAATCCTGAGAAAGCCAACTATGGCATTTCAGACCTATGGCAAACAAATGCCATAGACTGCATTTCAGGAATGTAAAATATGTACAGAAGTGGCACCCAACCAGAGTTAATTTTGAAATCTGTGCTCTCAATGCATGCTCAAAATTCACTACTTCATCAATGAAGAGGATCAAGGAAGTCAACGTCAGCATCATGAAGTATTAACCTCACATATTTCACAATGACTAGAGCGTAAAGATTAATCAAACTATCCATGCATCGAAATATCCAAGGCCGAAAAGCAGAAGATAAATTAGAATATAACTACCCGTTACATTCAAGCCATATTACCCTATTGATATTATTGACACAAAAACATATGAAAAAAATGCTAATTATATTTTCCCCTTTGTTTTGATAGAAAATAGACCAATCAAAATTATTTTCCAGAGTTTGATTACTACAGAGCATAGAAGTAATTCTGGTGTGTCACAACCTAACCACCGAGGTTAGACAGAACAGAGCCATGACCAATGTCGAATAGAAGAGCTTGCTAATAATTGTTTGTTGTAAGAGCTGATAAAACAAGGTCAGATGTTGTGGGTCAGCTATTTTGTCATGAATCGTATCAAGGATGATGTGCATCGTATCGACCAGTGGTTTGGGGCAAGGACCAGACTGTTGCTACCAGCAGACTTAATTCCAAACCAACACCAGATAATGATTAGTCTGAATTCCCTGAAGAAAAGAAATTCCATTCAGAATAAATGGCAAAATAGTGATAAAACTTATTTCAGACACACAAATGTAGAGAATTGATGCAGCAAACCCAAAATACCATGTCTGGAGGGATGCACAAATATACAGAGGGCATACCTACAGCACATGAAAAGTAGACACAAAGAACTTAGTTAAGCACCCCAGGACATATCTCACGATTGAATGAGCCCTGATTTTTCTGACTGAGTTTGGTTTCACGCCGCTTTTAGCAATATTCCAGCAATATCACGGCGGGGACACCAGAAAGGGCTTCACTCATTGTACCCATGTGGGGATTCGAACCCGGGTCTTTGGCTAACGAGCCAACGCTTTAACAACTAGGCTACCCCACTGCCCCGGCCCGATTTTAACCTTTTGGGGCATATCTGGGACATGATTGGTCGTCATGTGCAACAAGAGATCCTCCTGTACAGAACGTGACCCAAATGGAAACTGTTCCACACAAGGAATGGCATAAACTGCCCCTTCAGAGGATCAGGAGTCTGACAGGGGGTATGAGGAGGAGAGTGCTGGCTGTCATACAGTCACATAGAGGTTACTCTCGGTACTGACCTTCAGTCGTGTAAGGCAAAATGACATTTTGAATGTTCACATTCACCAATAAATTCAACAATAAACATTCCAGGGCCATACTGGTACAGACATCGTTTTGTATGAAAATCAGTGTTTTGAAAATGAGCAATTGTCATCATAAAATCAATATGGATTCCAATCATTTTGCTGCTTTTTATGAGTCAAAGGATCATATGGTTCAGGAAAACTCCATCGTGGTCACCACAGAAGTTTTATGTATGTGTTGAAAATCTATCATTGCAAAAATAAAGGGGTGCTTAATTAAGTTCCTTGTGTATAGTTGGTTATCTGAACACTACACCATTTCAATACTTTACAGGACCAGCAAGGGCCCCTAAACATTTTTGATGGGGGTACCTTTGACCCTGTGAGGTGAGGTGAAATTGGGTATAACATCGTGCTTGAGAATATTTCGCTCATATGACGACGTGCATGCGTGTGTATGTGTATGTGCGGATGCTTGTACTAGCCCAGACTTAAGCTGGTTTTATAGTGCTAGTTCATTGAGATACCATGCCACAGTGAAGCATTTTAACCCTGTTATATAAATGGATTATTCAGTGACACCAGGTGTTTGCAAAAACGGTATGCTTGTCCAGCTCTAACAGTAGCACTGGCTACTCACACAAATTACATAAAAAGACTGTGTTTGTTGTCTAATATTCCTGTAAAACAACAACATGCGAACAATCCAGTAAATGAGTGAGTGAGTTTAGTTTTACCCAGCACTCAGCAATATTCCAGCTATATGGCGGTGGTCTGTAAATAATTGAGTTTGGACAAGACAATCCAGTGATCAACAGCATGAGCATCAATCTACACAATAGGGAACCGATGACATGTGTCAACCAAGTCAGCGAGCCTGACCACCCGAACCAGATAGTCGCCTCTTACAACAAGCATGGGTTACTGAAGATCAATTCTAACCCAGATCTTCACAGGTCAACAATCCAGTGAACCATATTATGGTTATACACTGGAATATCACAGACCATGGCATACAACAAACACGTCCCCTGTAAACCCCATCACCATGAGCAGCAGGTGCTATGTGACATCACGCCTCCATATTAATCACACAATCATGGCAGACAGGCAGGGAATCAGGTTAAGGAAATAACACAATTCCAGAATATGATAGGAAACGAACAGAGACATCATTAAGTCAAAACTAAACCAATTACTTGACAAATGAATGCAACATCTCCAATGAAATGTGAGACCCAGATTGTTTGACCTCATCTGAAGGCATTCCCTCCCTGCTGTAGGAAGTAAGCTGACCACTTCAATGGCAACGTAAGCATGCACGGATCCTGGTTATCAGTGGCAGCTGATATTATACATTAATCTGGTCAGGCCTAATACAACTGATACTTCAGTTTTTAAGTACAGTATTAATGCCAATATCAGATAAAGTCCAACAGTCCGTCAAAATAATCTTTAAACAGGAGTTAGTGAGTGAGTAGGCTTAGCGCCACTGTGAACAGTAGCCATTCCATTAGACCCTCTGTCATCTTAATGGTGGGGGAAGCCCCAAGTGATGCGAAAAAAACAAATTCTACAACACTACGTGCAAGCGAAATGTATTCACTATCTTTTTGGTGCACATTGGCCCTATATTCAGGTATGAGAATGGGTATGAGTAAAATGAAGAAAATGAGCTGGAGATTTAGACGATTCACAAGAATGACCTTGGCCTTATGAAATTCCCAGAATTCCACGGATCTGTGGAAAATTCTCACCCCTGTATATTTCACAATTTGACTATGTATGACAGGAAAAATCTTGAATTGTAATATGTTGTAAAACAGCATCCAATACACAACAGTTCGAGTTGCCCACAAGGCACAAAATCTTACAAGCAGACATCTGTAAGTTTGAATAAAGGCGTGAATGCAGGTGAACATGGCAGTGAACATGGCACCCCAATTTCCCTTTGCCGCAGGCTTACTTTTTCAAACAAAACCCGGAGTTGGTTTTGATCCTTTACATCCCACCTGCCTGTTAACTGTCCAATGAGAACCAGACAAACCGGTGACTGACAGCATGATCATCGATCAGCAGTTGAACCATTCCATCCAATGTAGCCACATCTCGCAACAGTGAAAGTGGTGACTGACATGATCGGGTGGTCAGACTCTCTGACTTGGATGATGCGTGTCATCATATCCCAGATGTGTAG